AATTCTGAGAACTCTAAGAAACTTGGTGATAATACTTCTTTTTGTTAAATACCCTTCCATTTAGTATAGTTCAATTAGTGGCTAGAAATTAGATCAGTATTATTATTATTGAGTAAGATCTTTTCACTTGTCCTAATGCCCTAATTATATTTCAGTTATTTAATGAGGAAGTTTAGTTTCGTTTGTATCACCTCAAAACTAACTGCAGCAGAAATGCAGATATGCTTCTTTCTGTTTTAAAGTTACTCCTTTCTGTCCATAAAGAAAATAAACATCAACTTTTTTAAAATCTGTATTTCAGTGATAATATGCAAAATGCATACTGGGAACTGAAGAGAGAAATGTCTAATTTACATTTGGTGACTCAAGTACAAGCTGAACTACTAAGAAAACTGAAAACCCCAACTACAATCAAGAAAGGCAAGTAAATGTTGGCTGGAAACCACTGATTCCAGCCAAACAGCTTGAAGAGCAACTGGCTATCGTTTATCAAAATCTCATCAGATGATTTTGATAAGCCAAAGTATATATAGTATGTTCACAGCCTACCTATTCTCTGCTCGGGCTTCATTCTCATACTGGTCAACTTCACACATAAAGGTGTTGCTGATGTGTTTTTTCTTCGGTACTGTATTCTTTTCCCCTTGTGGCTTTTTTTCTCAGCCAAGTGTTGCTTATGTGTATAAGGCTGAGGTGTTAAGTTTGCTCTAGCTGACCTTTTACCACAACTCCTCCTTATATTTAAAAAAAAAAAAAAGACATCAAGACATCAAAAGCTATTTTTCATTCCAGTGCTAGAGAATATATCGAAGACCTAGCTCTTTAAATTAGTTTTGAAAAAAATAACTGATGCATAATTTGAGTTGTTTTCCTTTGGTAAACTTAATTTTCCTTCCCATAAAGGATAGACTGTTTAGAATGGTAACTATGTGTTATCCCACTATCCCTTTCAAGGAAACAAAGAATTTTCATCGATCTGCTTTTCATATTAACTGCTTGGCTGACTACACTTTTTTAATTTTGGGCCTAACCTAGTAGTTAGCGGCTACTTTACCAAAACTCTTACTATACCTCAGAGAAGTCAGTACATCCATACCTTTTATTACATAATTTTATTTCTGAAAAGTTGTATAATATAAATTTGTCTGAAAATTTATTTTAAGGAATTAGATGTGACTTTTGGTAAGAAGAAAAAAAATCACCACCACCCTTAATTTAAAATGATATGCACCTTGGATTGTCCCTAAAGAGGGCACAAGAGAAATGTATTTTCGAAATCTCCTCAGGAGTGTTTACTAGTAGGGAAAAAGGAAAACTAAAATAAAAATCCCTTTCAGTTTCTAGAGAGTAATTTATGAATCAGGCAGGCTCCAACTTAATTTATGGTTCATTTTGCCCTTGAGTTTTCCAATGACCAGGGGTCCTTATGAGGCAAATGTGTGTCAATTGGTAGAGGTAAAACTTCTCTTAAAAGGAATGCAGAACAATTTTGCAGGGAGTTTTTAGGAAGACTTTGTTTATATAACAGATATAGTTTTCAGAGAATAAAATGCTCTTTCAACATTTGGAAACAGCTCATTCTTGTGTCCCTTGTGAGTTGGTGAAGGATAAATCTTTTGGTAAAGCGAACCGAAAGCTCCCTAGTGCACACTGAGCATGGCAGGCTCAAGGCTACGGCTCCTCACCACAACTCCATGCTTTCTGGAGTAGAGACAGACTAGATCATCTTTCTTCCTCACCTGCATTATCACCCTTGTCCAGAAGTTGAGCACTGTTACTTCTAGGTTTTCTCCATGCCCATCTCATTCCCCAAGAAAAAAGGCAATTAGCTTATTTTATAATGTGGTTCAATTTCTTCTAAAATTATAGATTCGAGCTGAGTTATAATTTTTAGCATTTTGCCCTAGTAGGTCGAATTGGAAGGGGCAGAAAAGTTCAGGCTACCTTTATGTTGGTGATGGTTTGTTTAGTGCACGTGTAATGGCTCAGAAAACAGTTTTTTCTCTTGACCTATTGACCATGGCAGAAATGTGTGTTTATAAGAAACAATTATTTTATAATAAATTTTATTCAAACTGGTTTATCTATAAGAGCCTTTGAATGTATATTAAAACTGACTTAGGGCCTCACCAAGTCACAATATAATCACTGCAGAAAAAATTTTGAAGCACCTATGGAAAAAGGTTTGAATAAGCAAAGGAATATTGAAGAACAGCTTTCTTAGTTTCCATGGACACTTAAATCAGTATGCACATTTTCTCTAGTCACATTACAATTTCTCCTCTTTATTGATGGTTCTGTGATAGAGGCAGGACAAGGTTCCTGTGTCCATTTTGCAGATGAGAGAAGTGACACTTGGAAGCAATAAAGTGACTGAACCAAAAGTCACAATGTCCGTAAATAAGTGATCCAGGATTAGAACTCTGATCATTTGTCATCTGTCTTCTAATCATAGTGCCCCAGTGATTAACTTGGAAATATTAATTTTATGTCCACTTCTAGACTCAGCCAAATTAGGATCACAAATGCCTTGACAACTGACATTTAGCCTGTGCTTTCTTTTTAGCGTGTGCCCCACTAGGATGCATGGAAGACCTTGGGAAAGACAGCACAAAACTGCACTTGGCGAATTTTACCGCAACATACAAAAGACATTCCCCCCTCTCACCAAATGGCAAAACTCTTTGCCACACCACATCTTCCCCTTTATCAGGAGATATGAAGGTTTTATCAGAGAAAGCAATTCTCCAATCATGGACAGATAATGAGCGATCCATTCTTCATGATGGCACTAACCTTCAGGAACACAACTCTTATGGCAGAAATTCTCTGGAAGATAATTCTTGGGTATTCCCAAGCCCTCCTAAATCAAGTGAGACAGCATTTGGGGAGACTAAAAATAAAACTTTGCCTTTATCCAACCTGCCACCACTGCATTACTTGGATCAACATAATCAAAACTGCCTTTATAAGAATTAATTCCGAAGAGATTTCATGATTTGGTCATGAGGTTACTGTCCTCTCCCTCAGTGGCTCTCAAGAAATTACTTAACTGAAAGCAGATTTTGAATAAACTTTTGCAGAGTTCTTCAGTACGTATATTTGCACATACTGTTCTCCATGTCCTGTATCAATTTCCCAGTATTAGCTCCATGTTCTGGCTAAGAATCAGATACAAGCTACCAGTTAATTAATAAACTTAAGTTGTCTCAAAGAAACAGTTCTACCTTTGATAGTAATTGTAAATAACTGCCTCTCATGTAAAGAATGGAATTAAAATTTTTTAGGACATGGTTTTATATAGCATGTGAAATGCCTAAAATAAGAGGCCATTAATAATCTGAGAAAAATTGTAAGTTGCTTTAATTTGCATAAAAGAAATGGCAAAATGAATAGGTTCTATTTCTAGTGACCTTACATAAAGATGAAAATTATAGTTGAATAATATAGGTTATTCCATCTCCATTTGCCGTTGTGTTTCAGAGTTTAAGACTTAGTAACATTTTGATTAAAAAATGATTTTAGGACTTGAAATAACTTGATCATTGAAACCAACTCAGTGTTCCATAGTCCCTTCAAATCCTAACTGAAAAAAAGTGGTGAAGTAGTTGAAAAACTATGTGGTGTGTGAACTGTTTCAATCCCGCATTATCCAACTAGAAGTAGAAAGAGCATCACACAGGTTGCGGTCTAATCTGTGCCTTCAATGGTCCATAATAAAGAGCTAAATATGTAACTGGATAAAGTCATTTTCTTCAAAGGGTCTATACCTGCTTGATACGTAGAGCAACTTAATTGTAATTGACTTTGTTTTGAAATGTAAGAGTGATTTTTGATTAACCAAATTAAGAATTTTAAGTCTAAAAACTGAATTTTGTGCTGTATTGATATAGTACAATCATGAAATGTCCCCAAACTTTTTGAGTAAGAGGCCTATCATTTATAGACAAGGATGGCTTCACATGGAAATGCTATCTAAATTCTTCCAGGGTGGTGGTATTAACACTGTAATATAATGTATTAGTTGGCTTATACATCTTTTGCCTCAGATAAAGGGTTTCATGTAGGAGGCCTTTATCCTTTTTGATAGACAGTTTCAAATATCTTGAACTGAAAAAGAATATCTCGGATCTCTTCTATTAACTGAGTAGCATACATACATAAACAATGTTCACTGGTCACAGATATTTTTGTCTTTCTATTATCTTACTCACTTATTCAGGCTTGTCTGTGATTAATGGAATTGGTGTCAGATGCTGGAATTTATTCTGACCAATGAACACCGCTCACTCCAGGGAGTACAATCTCCTGCCAAGTAATAGAACAGAACCCAATATGCATAAAACAAATACAAGACTCCAGGCTTTAGCTAAAGGAAGCAACTACCTGTGTAATAACAAAGCAGCAGAAACTGTTTCTCATGTGGCTGCATAGTCTGTATATTCTATCTCATCTCTAATGTAGCTTACTGGTTTGCTTTTTTTAAAACCAAGGTTGGAAACTTTCCTTTGTAAAGAAGTCATATGAGATAATGGCTTGATTAATGTTTTGAATAATGCCAAGAAATTGTTTAATTAAAATAAATTATTTTTGTTTGAAATTGGAAGTGAATGTGAAATACTGTCCTTGCCTATATATTCTAAGGTCAGGTACTAATTATTAGTTATTAATTTGACTCAAATTACAGGCATTTATCTTGTTAAACCAACTTCTGAGTGGAAAAAAATGTTCTTCCATCTGAACAACAGGGTAGCTGGCAAACAGGTATGCCGGAAATCAGAGGTTGATGTTCTTTAAAGTACTAACTAAATGATGGGTAAGACTTGAACCAAAAAATGTATCCAGCCATAAATTTTAAAATATACACTTTATGATCATCTCCATTCTGCGTAAGACTCAGAGAAAAATGAGAAGGACCAATCTGTAGATTATTAATCTACTTAAGATGGAAAATTTTATGTTGACTTCTTTCATACCACTAGAAATTTGCTCCAAAGGGCTTCCTTCAAAAATTTCTTTAATCTTTAGATTTTTACCATAACCAGGTTTACATTTACATAGAAGAGAACACAGGTAGTAACAAAGACACTCCCTCCCCTTGACCTCCTATTAGCAAAAATAAAATTTTTATTTTCTCTAATAGGAAACTGAGGTACTGCCAAAATGGAACCTAATTCCTACACAGAGCAGGGACATACCTATGTGGAACACTAGAAAAACAGGTAAATAAGGAAGAATTCAAACTTCAAGAACCAAGCCTGAATTGTAAGGAAACAGTAATGATCTAATCCAAAAGACTACTTGGGTCAAGTAGTCTACTTAGGGGAAGAAAATCTGTGCACTCTTAATAATACCAGCCAGATAATGAATGAGCAACCAAAACAACAACTGAGGCAGCTGTACTAGTGAGTGAAGTAGACCAGTTTGGGGGCCAGGCATGGATATTCTGAAAGCTGTAGTCAGTGGTTTAGTTTCTGACAGGCATGAACATATTTATATAACCTACTGCCCAGCACCTATGGGGAAAGCAACATCTACATAAATTAATTTTCCACATAAGATTGAAGGTGGTTTCTCTGATTCTCATCCAAATTATAAATTAGCCACAGATTATATATTTCACTACCTTCCTAAAGTAACTATTTGCCTTTTCTTCATCTGCATCATTTAAAACAATTCAGGTCCTGTGCTCTAGGAAATGTACCAACACCAAAAGACTGACAGAAGAATTGTTTACCCCTATGGTATGTGGTCTCTAGGTTTCTATATTTGCTTTGCTTTGGTCTGTTCTAGTAACCTTCCTTTTGATCTGTGACCTAGGAAAATGTGGCTGCTTTGGGTTTCAAGTAAGAGTAAAATAGTTCTCTGAGCGGTTCACTTGAGTAAAGTATTGAATTCTTTAGGGTCCTATCTGCTTTAAACTAAGTCCTTTAAAAAGAATCTCAGACCTGTTTCATGGGATTGGGGCCAAAGTTAAATCTTAATCCTAGTAGGTAGTAATTTCTATTTGTGATTTTAATGAGAACTATGTAAATATATATAAATCTTACTTACTTGGAAACTCGTTGCAGTGACTACAGTGAGGAGTTAACAGTTCGTGGAGGAAAAAAAGGAGCAACTTTTAATATAAAAGTTCAACCTAGGACCAAATTACTGCACTCAATTTTCTTAGACTAGCTCCTGAAATCATTAAACTAAACTATTTTCAATAGCCAAACAGGTCAAAGAACATAATAATTCAATTTTAGGAAATTTTCCCTCAAATATGTAAGTAAAATTAATTCATGTATAAGTACTTCCTTCATCTGTGTTTCCAAATAATCCTTTACTGCTAATAACAATAACCATGGAACTGTCCAACTGACTTACCTTCAGTAACTTTCATAATGAGAATTATTTCCATGGTTGTATAACGAGTTATAGACCCAGGAAGGATTCTGGTTTGTAACTATTCTGCTATCTGCCTTGTTATTAACACCTTTGACAGCTCCTGCTTTCCTTTGGTTACTTCTCGTCTCTGATTAGCCATTAGTCTGTACACTGGAATGGAATAATAGAAGGTCTATATAGAACCCTAGAAATCAGTATCACTGTTAGAAAACTGTAGTAGTGGAAAAACTTACCAAAAATCTATAATGCCCAGGCAGACCATATCCCATTTCAATATTTACTCCTCCCATCCCTTTTGGTATTTAACTTAGAAAGTTTAAAAAAATCTTTTATTTCAGATAAAATTAATATTTCCATAATTTAGGATAAAGCAAACACTTCCTTGAGTCCGTAATTTCTGGTAATGATTTCCATGAATATCAGAGCTCCTGAGTATCTCGAATATATGCCTACATGCTTGTGGGAAGCTTCTGTAGCCTTTTCTTGGTAGGAATTCCAGTTTTTCTGAATTCTTCCCTTTCCTTCAGGTATTCCATTTTGCATTCTTCATAAAAGGCTGGATCATTGTAACTAAAAGAAGGAAATAAATAGCTCCTTTTAAAATGAAACTTTGCAAGCATTTAATAGAAGCTTATTTAATATTCAGACATATCATCGGGTATATGCTTTAGTAACATTTTAAGAAATGGTCATAAACACACTGTAAACATTAGGCTATCAAACTAGCTGGTGGGAGAAAAAAGACCTAGTGGTTCATTTCTGAATGGCACTGTGTCCAGAAGCACAGCACCCATCCTCAGGAGGCCATGGTGCTCTGGAGCAGACGAATAAAGGCTGTGCAACAAGTACACAAAGTGCCGTGCCAGAGGTGTGACCCAGTGCACCACGGGAAACATGGGGATGCCCTGGGGAAAGGAGACCTGTCAAGCAGAAGAAGACTGAGCTGCATTTTTTTTTTAAGTTTTTTTTTTTTTAATGTTTTATTTATTTCTAGGAGAGAGAGAGAGACAGCGTGAGCAGGGGAGGATCAGAGAGAGAGGGAGTCACAGACTGAAACAGGCTCCAGGCTCCGAGCTGGCAGTCAGCACAGGGCCCGACACGGGGCTCGAACCCACAAACCGCGAGATCATGACCTAAGCGAAAGTCGGACGCTTAACCGACTAAGCCACCCAGGCGCCCCTGAGCTGCATTTTTGAAGGGCAGAAATCCATTATCAAAGGTACACTGGGGAAAAGGCACAGAGATGAGGGAAAACTGATGCATGTAGACTGCAAGTAAATTAGTACCCCTGCAGCAGATTATGCACTTAAGAAAAAGGGCCTGGGATGAATCCAGACTGGGCAAGGGCCGCATCACGAAGGTCATTTTATGTGACACCAAGAAGTTGGAAGTCTATCCTGAAGGCAATGGGCCACTATTAACAGAAGAACTCAAAGATCAGTTTTGTGTCCTAGTCACGCTGACAGCATATGACAGGCCAAAAGAGGGCAGCAAGGTTAGAGGCAGGAGGCCATGTAAGTAAACTATGAAGATAATCTAGCCAAGAATGAGGAAGGGCCCTCAGCTAGAGGAGCAGTTGTGATGAAAAGGATCTAGGGGAGATGTAGGAAATAAAAATAGGAAATAACCATTTAGAGTCAGGAGACCAGGAAAACTCTAAACGCATGATACAGGAGAAGGAAAAGGAGCTGAGTTCAGTTTTGGACCTGAATAAAGTAGCTGAGGAATGTCATGACCTAAGAAGTGACCAAATTCATGGGTCCAAACTGAGCTTTTGCAGACCTAAGCATGACAAGAGAACTGGGAACCCACCTTAAAAGATTCAGTTCAGGAAGATGAGAATGAGAAGTAAGATGTTGCAGGAACAGGAAAGAGTATAAGGGAAGCCAGACAGAAGAGAAGTTTAAGGAGCTTCTGGAGAGGGAGGCCAAGTGAAAGAAAAAGGACTGAAGCGCTATTCACTGGACTTGGCTACCATGAACCCACTAGAACCTTTAGGAGAAGCAGTCTCCGTGGAAGGGGGCAGAAGTCAGACTGCAGACTTAACTGAAGAACGAAGATGGCACAGGTAGAAATAACGATTGATTTCAAGATGCCACTACGGAGATGAGAGAGGGCAGTGGTCGGTTACCTTCATTTCAGGAATGTCAACAGTAAATAAAGCTGAGTACTTTCTTATTCAACGATGAAGAAATATTTAGAGTGTGTTGAGAATTAAGGTCAAGTAAAATCCTTAACTCAATTTAGCAAATGTCCTAACGTTCTTGTTTCCTTCACTGCTTTTCTCCTAAAGAGAAGCAGCCTTCTCCAACCCCTCCCCAGAACAGGCTAGAACCTCTTATTTTTTCCTATTTCCAGGGGGTAAAAGGAAGGATATTTAAATAACTAATATTCAGATAACAAAACTAACAATACAATGAAAGAATTAAGAGCTACCATTTATTGACTACCCACTACGTGCCAGGCATTGTACTGAGTTTACATACAGTCCCTCACAATCACTGCAGGAGAAGGAACTTCCCATCTTCTATGAGGAACCTGCCCAGGGCCGCACCACTAGCTCAGCTCTGGCTGGTCCAGGAGGAAAGCCCCACTGCTCTCTCCACAGTCCGCACTCCTGCCCCCTCTGCTCTAGCGATGCCCATCTGGGAGAGCGGGATAATATGCAAACTAAGAACAAGTTATTATGACTGAAACTGTGGTGTAAAAATTCTTTTAATATATAAAAAAGAATTGAAGAACTTCAGTCAAAAAGAAGTTTAACCAGGTGAGTGATCCATTACACATCTCTTGGGAGCATGAGGGAACAGAAGTGGAAGAAAAACAAGTCACAGAAGGCGTGTTTACTTCTCTGATGAGATGCTTAGTGCAGGTTCTGGCCCAGAGGTAAGGGTGTGTTTCCTTATCTATAAACGGAGAGATTAGTTTAATGTCTCAAGTCTCCTAACTACAGAATTTTTTTAAGTTTGTAAATTTTAAATTTCTATGTACATTATTACTATCAATGAAAACAGGCACCTGGGTGGCTCAGTCCATTAAGCATCCCATCAGGTGATGATCTCACAGTTCATGAGTTCAAGCCCCACATTGGGCTCTGCGCTGATGGTGCGGAGCCTGCTTGGCATTCTCTGCGCCCTCCCCTCCCCACACTCGTTCTCTCTCTGTCTCTCTCTCAAAATAAGCAAACATTAAAAAAAATAACTGACTCAGAGAATCACTATGTTTTATTTAATTCCCTAGTAAGTATCAAACCATGCTGACCTGTATGTTCCACAGACGAGAGGGCAGTTACAGGAGGAAACAAAGGATAACCAAAGCTGAGGCCAGGCAGCTATCAATTACCAGTACTGAAGTACCCCACAGTATTGTCTGCGAGTAATGCAGATGATAAAGCGCGTGGGGAGATACAGCCGAAAGCGCCTGCCTTCAAAGAACTTGCAAAGTTTTACTTTAATATTCAACTGTCGAGTGAACATGATATTTAAGAATTATTGCTAAATTAACCTCAAAAATCAAAATTTACCTTTGTATCCTTCATTTGATGTAGTGCAGCTTTCTCAGGAGTTAAATGATATTAATCCCCCAAATCACCAGGCCGACAAGTCATCTAACTCCGTACATTTCATAAGAGGAGAGAAATATAAACCCATCTATAACATACTCAATCGATCAACCGTTCATGAAGAGGAATTCACTAAGTCATGTGAAAAATCCTGTATTTTTGTTTGCCGATCTCATATTTTTAATCAGATACAACGTTGACACAGAACTTGACAAGACCTTTCACAAATATGTTGCTTAGTATGTAACAAACTGAAATCTCAGGCTCAGCTAACAATATCAAAGATTTGATGGGGCGAAGTAAAGAATCTATCACATGTAATGAGTTAAATAACATGTTCTAACATATACTACACACATCCACACACAGAGAAGCACTAACAATGTGATTACTTACTGAGCAGTTAGACATTCTTTCAGGGCAGAATTTTCTTTCCGGCATTTTACTACCATAAGGATTCCAGAGTCCTTGCAACATTTGGTAAAATCTGAAAAAAAAGTGGAAAAAAGAAAACGACTTGTAGTTACATCAACATAATTTTTTCTTAAATTTTTTAATGTTTTGTTTCTGAGACAGAGAGAGGGAGAGAGAGCGTGAGCAGGGGGAGGAGAGAGAGAGGGAAACACAGAATCTGAAACAGGCTCCAGGCTCTGAGCTGTCAGCACGGAGCCGGAAACAGGGCTCGAACCCACGAATTGCGAGATCATGACCTGAGCCAAAGTCAGACACGTACCCTGAGCCACCCAGGTGCCCCATATCAACGTGATTTGTAACAGCTCTAAACTATCCGTGTATTTAACACCTCTTACCTGGATCGCACCTGGCACATGGGGCATCCTCCACAAAAGCCACACACGTGAATGCAAGGCAGAACAGAACTAGTGCTATTAACCGCAGAAATAAAGAAAGAACTCTGAAAGGGGAGGACAGAGAAGGGATGTAGAGAGTAAGGAAGATTTCTGACAGAGAAAAGGTGTATCTTTACAAGAAATGAGTAAGGAGAGTAAAAGGGGAGTTGTTTCCAGACACGGGCCTCTGTGTCTAGTCTTGCGCATCTCCTGCTGGCCTCCAGGCACCCCCTTTAAGACGACCCTGCCACGGTGCCTGAATTTCTGCCAACAGAGCTCCCACTCCATCCCCAAGGCAACTTACAGATGCTACTGGAAATTCAAACAGCTTTCTGTCAAATTTCCATTCTAGCAGTTTGCCTTTTGGGTTGTACTGGCCCCTTGGTATCCTGCCTCCGCAGCACCAGCAGCCCAGGGCAGCCTGGTGCCATAATCCAGTAGGCTTGTGGTCAGACTCGGTCCTACCTATTCTTTCTGCAGGCCAGTGTGCTATGCCTCAGTTTCTCTCCTAACTATTCTGGGCCTTCTTCCTGTCCACTGGCTGCTCTAGTTTCAGCTCCGCCATCTCCAACCTGCTGCGAGTAACCAACAATGTCAGACTTAAATCCGAGATCATCCTCACAAAGAAGCTGTAGGTAAAGCAATGTTTTCTGAATATCTTTTATAACTCCTTTAATGAAAGTTACCAAGATTTCCCTCTTTTCCTGAGCTGTGCATTACCCTTCTAATTACTAACCAGTATAATTTATAATTATCCTAAAGCAAGCAGGTCATTCAGGGGTCTCCATGAATACACATAATACGTAACAAAGTTATCTTCCAGCCTCAGGCAGACTGTAAGTAACTGAGATTTATGAAATGTTTAAGAACCTGCTGAGACGGGCTGGGACGAGAGTCCTAGGGCACAGACACAGCAGGCTCGGAAGGCTGCATGGCACAATAGGAACAATGACAGCAGAGGCAGGAAATGACTTTAATTCAGTTTCGTGTGTGTGATCACATGAAACTGGGTGACACGCAGCAACACCCCACATCAAAGACACACAGGACTGGCTTCCTTTGGCTGCTCGTTCTCGAGCCTCAGCAACCCCACCAGCAGCTCCCTGACTCCCGAACCCAGTCAGGTATCTTCCTTATTTCAACTACAAATCTTCTTCCTCTCCGTGCACATGAACTGGTCTCATGAGCCAAATCAGACCAAAGGAATTTCCTTTGTGCTCTCGGAGTAAAGACTGCCTACAACTCAGAGGGCAAATCAGATTCACAATCAGCTCATTATTAGTGGCGATCCTGAGGGGTGGCTACCTGGCTATCAAAAAGTCCATTAAGGGGCGCGTTAGTGCCTCAGTCGGTCAAGTGCCCGATGTTGGCTCAGGTCATAGTATCATGGTTTGGAAATCAGGTCACTTCGAGCCCCATGTCGAGCTCTGTGCTCAGAGCCTGGAGCCTGCTTCTGATTCTGTGTCTCCCTCTCTATCTCCGCCCCTCCTCTGCTCACACTCTTTCTCTCTCTCTCTCCCTCTCAAAAATAAACATAATTTTTTTAAAATTGTCCATTAACTTTCACTCTGGAATGTCATTAGCATTCCTACATGTAAATTCTCTACTTATATGATGATACTAAGCCCTACCTTTCTACAAGCAACAGTTATGATTCCAAATAAAAATTAAGACCTGGGAAATCCTCAGGGAATATGTACATAAAGTTAACCCAGAAGTGACTAAATCTGGGTAAGGGCTTCTCGAAAGGAATTGCCATTATCCATGGCGATGAACCATGAGCTTGTTCCCTTGCATCACCCAACCTTACTATGAATTCATGAGACCAAACCAGTTCATGGTTCTAGAATAATGTCTAGAAGAAAGATCATTAGCATCTTGAGTTTGCCTAATGAAAATATGCGAGCCAAAGCCCTCTCCTGGCAAACACAAACACAATGGCTATTAAAAAGTCCACTTTCTGAGTGTAACAAACCCAATACTTTTACATTTGGTAGATTCCTAACAGAATACTTAGGCACTGTATTATTTTCAGGTTCATTTTCCTTAATATGAATAAAAATGTTCTCAGTAAGGAATTGATGCAAGATAGCATTTATGTGTTCTGACCACAATAAAGGCACAGTCTATATATTTTCACACTTGTCCAAACCTCTTCAGGAATAACTGTGACTGGCCTAAAGCCTCAAGCTGTTTGTGAGGTTTTCGTCACTTGTTTAGCAACAAGATTTTAATGAGGATCTTTCTTTCATACCATATTAGCATACATTCAGATAATAATGATGCTGCTAGTGCGGCCAACTGATTTCTAAAATGGTATTCTAAGACAATTTAGATTCTTTGTCTTTCAGTGTTATGTTAAGTGGTATAAAGCTGGTATGCCTGTATATAATTTAATACTAGTTACTAGTAAAGATTATGAAAATAAAATTTCATTTATTTAAGCACATGTTAAGGAAATACAAATGAAAATGAACAGTAAGAACAGAGATTGCTAAAAAGTTATTTCAAAATTTAAAGAAAGGTACTTTTAAAGATAACATTCACGACTTTTCTTAAAAATGTCTAGAACCTGGGGCACCTGGGGGGGCTCGGTTGAGCGTCCAACTTCGGCTCAGGTCATAATCTCGTGGTTCATGAGTTCAAGTCCTGTGCTGGGCTTGAACAACTCAGAGCCTGGAGCTGCTTCAGATTCTGTGTCTCCCTCTCTCTCTGCTTCTCCCCCACTCACATGCTATCTCTCTCAAAAAGAAACATTAAAAAACAATGTCAAGACCATGATATCTATTCTTCTCAAACTATTTCAAAAAATAGAAGAGGAAGAAAAGCTTCTAAATTAATGGTACAAAACCAGTATTACCCTGATGCTAAAACCAGAGAAAAGATACTACAAACAAAGAAAACTACAGGCCAATCTGATGAACACAGATACAAAAATCCTCAAAAAAATACAAGAAAACTAATTTCAACAATACACTTAAAAATGCACTACCATGGGGCGCCTGGGTGGCTTAGTCAGTTAAGCGTCCAACTTTCGCTTAGGTCATGATCTCGAGGTTCATGGGTTCGAGCCCCGCGTCGGGCTCTGTGCTGACTGCCAGCTCAGAGCCTGGAGCCTGTTTCAGTCTGTGACTACCTCTCTCTCTGACCCTCCCCTGCTCATGCTGTCTCTCTCTCTCTCCTAGAAATAAATAAAACATTAAAAAAAAAATTTAAAAAAAAAAAAATGCACTACCATCAAGTGAGATTTATTCCAGAGATACAGGAGTGGCTCATTACTCACAAATCAATTTGATATATATCACATTAACAAGACAAAGGGATTAGAAGCCATATGATCATCTCAAGAGATGAAGAAAAAGCATTCAACAAAATGCAACATCTGTTTATAATAAAACCTCTCAACAAAGTAGGCTCAGAGGGACTGTACCCTCAGCATAATAAGGTGATATATGAAAAACCCATGGCTAACATCATAATGCTGAAAACCTGAGAGCTTTTGCTCTGAGGTCAGGAACGAGACAAGGATGTCTACTCTTACCACTTTTATTCAACATAGCACTGGAAGTCCTAGCTGCAGCAATCAGACAAGAAAAAGAAAGAAAAGGCATCCAAATTGGTAAGGAAGAATAAAACGGTTACTATTTGCAGATGACATGATACTATATATAGAAGACCCTAAATTTTCCACCAAAAAAACTGTTATAATTAATAAACTGATTCAGTAAACTTGCAGGATATAAAACTAACACATAGAAATTGGCTGAGTGATAGTGATTTAATAGAAAAAGAAATTTAAAGTATCCCATTTACAACTGAACCAAAAAGAACAAAATATTTAGGAATAAACTTAACCAAGGAGGTGAAAGACTTGCAACCCAAAAAACTATAAAACACTGATAGAAGAAACTGAAGACAACACAAATGGAAAGCTATCCCGTGCTCATATACTGGAAGAACAAGTACTGTTAAAACGCCCATACTACACAAAGCAACCTACAGATTCTATGCAAACCCTACCTTTAAAATACCAGCAGCATTTTTCACAGAATGAGAACAAATAATCCTAATACTGAGATGGAACCACAAAGAACTTGAATGGACAAAGCAATCTTGAGAAAGAAGAACAAAGCTAGATCATAATTCCTGATTTAAAGATACACTATACAGCTTTAATAATCAAAATAGTATGGTACTGGCAGTAAACCAGAAACATAGATGATTGAAACAGAATAGAGAGCCCAGGAATAAATCCACACTTAAGTGGGCAATTAATCTTTGACAAAAGAGGCAAGAATATGCAATGGGGAAAAGACAGTCTCTTCAAAAGATGGCGCTGGGAGAACTGGACAGCTACCTGGAGAAGTATGAAACTGAACCACTTCCTTACACCATACACAAAAATAAACTCAAAATAGATGACTAAAGACCCCAATGTGACTTGACAATAAACTATTAAAAAAATAAAAAGTCATAAAAATAAAAAAAATTTTTTTTAATTAAAAAAGAAAAAGACCACAATGTGAGACCTTAAACCATAAAACACCTAGAAGAAAACAGCACTAATCTCTCTGACGTCATCCTTGGCAACACTGTTTTTAGGTATATCTCCTAGGCAAGGGAGACGAGCAAAAATAAA